AGCCAGCCATGCTGGCTGGGGAATTCTGGGAGTTGAAGTCCACTCATCTTAAAGTGGCCAAGTTTGGACAACACTGTAGTAGCTCAAATCAAATGCACACATACTGAACGGATAACAGCCTGACAGCCCCGAGGACCTTACACGTAGAGGCAAGAAATGGAGCTAAAAGACCACTTTTCATGAAGCCAAATTCCACCCTTTGCCTTGTTTTATTGTATTTCCAAAACTGCACAATTAGTGGAGCACAACTGGTGATACAAAAACAAGCAACTTCGTAGGTACTCCAGTTGCACCATATTAAAATCTATAAACCTAACAGGAATTTCAAAATTCTGCACCAGACCTACAGGAACCTCAAACTCCTAACGACAGGAATAGAGCCATGTGCTCTGTTAAGGGGCTTTTCTGGATAATTAAACCGTTTAAATGTCAGAACACAGCATCAGAAATGTCCAAAACTTGAACCTGTCAAGCTCCCTGGCACGCCACTAGGGGGCGCGTTGAGAATACAAATAGATAGCATCTTTTAAGGGAACAATCAGGGAGCAAACTAATAAAATAAATTGAGTGCTTTAATTTTCCATCTGCTTCATGAAAAACACGGATTCACAGGTTCAGTGATTATGAACATTCTGATCTTGCTGCATCAACACCAGCACATTAAGTACTCTGGGTTTGCAGGAGCTGACACAGATTGCCATTTGAATTTTGCTTCAGCACTGGGAACATAACATGTTTCAGCTTTCATTTAAATGTTTTTAGCCCTTGTGGAGAAAGATTCACTCCTTCTATGGCTTCTCCATTAAATCAGTAACAACAATATTAATATAAACACGAAGACTACAATCTCAAAAACTCTATACTATTGTTCTATTGTTGATTTAGTGGCCGTACATTGGAGAGAGATTTTCCCAAATGCCATACTTCATATCGTTTTACCCAGAGATGTTGGAAATTATATCCTTCTGCAATATAAAGCATGTGTTCTAACCTGGGACCTTCTAATGCAACATGTGTATTCTATCATTTTGCTATGTCAAATAAATATTCTATTTGATGTAGGCTCTCTGATTCATCTGCCAAAGTTTATTCCAAGGAAGAACATGTGTGGGATTCAGAGATGAATGTATACAAACAGGTGCAATACGAAAAGTTATGATTTAACATCCAGAATTATTCTGTGGTCTTGTCTTTCATACGATGGGACAGCAAGTATGGAAACAAAGTCTGCATTACTCTCTTTGATTTATCAGTTCAGAGTCACAGGTGAGGGTACAGACTTAGAAATCGGCTACTGTGAGTAAGTAATTCAGATGTGACAAGCCAAAGACAGATAATCTTTCATGCATCAACAACATAAACCATTTTAGAATAAACCTGCAGAGTCTTCATACAGTTATAACTAACTCCTCTAAAATAACCAGCTTAGAATGAGACATAAAATGTGGCACAGCACAGATTCAATGGAGTAGCCAACAAACAGGTAGAAGAAAATGCTTTATATTATTCTTGATGTTATGCAAATTGCTAGAATAAATCTTAAGTACATTGCAGTCAGAAGTATCCTGAGATCAATCATACCCTTTATGTGGTTGGTGAACTAGTGCTTTTATAACACAAAAGAATAGTGTAGCAACATTTCCGGTACACTTTACTGCATCAGTGATGGAGCTGTTAAGTTCAGTAGAGAAGTTTATGAAATCTATGGTTGTATTAAAATCATGCAAAGATTATAAGAGAAAAGAAAGAAAGAAAGAAAGAAAGAAAGAAAGAAAGAAAGAAAGAAAGAAAGAAAGAAAGAAAGAAAGAAAGAAAAGGTTTGCCTGCCTGCCTGAATTTATATGGAAGTTTTTAAAAGTTTTTTGCAATATTATAACTGTCAGATGTTGCAAGTTAAGAATGGTAGTTAAGAAACAGGAAACAAAATAAAAAAAAGAAGAGTTGAGTTTAAAGCCACAAATTGTTAACCCGGGTTCCTTTTCCTGTTCTTCCACAAACTTCTCACATGTAGCGTAGTTCTACCCTGTCTTCAATTTTCAAACTTTACAAGAGCAGTGAAAAGGCAAGAAGGAACTGAGCAGAGAAAGAGCTTGTAGATGGTACTTGGTGGACAAGAGCAAGATGCTATTAACAGGATACTTAAGTCTCGAGTCCTGAGCAACATTGGCTCTGAACATTAATTAGGCAAAATTCAAGCTACTCTCTAAAGTCACAAGGAACAGAAATCTACATTTTAAAAAGTCAGAATGAATGCTCAAAACGATACATCCAAGTCTGGATATCAAATCTGTAATGACATGATTAAGGTTCAGAGAAGGGCAACTAAGATGAACAGCTTCCCTATAAGGAAAGGGGTGGAACAGCTTCCCTATAAGGAAAGGTTGCAACATTTGGGGCTTTTTAGTCTAGAAAGGAGGCAAAATGGAGGAGACAGTGTTCAAAATTACGCATGGTTTGGATAAAGTGGACAAGGAGAAACTATTTTCTCCTTCCCCAAATACTAGACCTAGAGGTAACCCAATGAAATTGAATCCTGGAAGAATTAGGACAGACCAAAGGAATTTTTTTTTACACAAAGTGTAATTCAACTTTGGAATTCACTACCATGAGATGTAGCCTGGCTGGCTTCAAAAAGGGGTTGGATCAGTTCACGGAACTCATGGGGATCCATGGCTTTCAACCTTGATGGCAGCATGACTGCCTCTGAAGGCCATCTGCTGGGAGACTAGGGGGCTTCCTCATGCAGTTGGTTGGCTACTGCAAGAACAGACTGCTGGACTAGATGGGCCAGGGGTCCGATCCAACAGGGCACTGCTTTTGTTCTTAGGAAGCAGCCTCAAAGACAGTGACTACAGCGCTTTTCTTACTAATACAAAAAGTTAAACATATTAATGATTATGAATTATTTGACACTATACAGATTAGGGCTGCTGAAAGGAAGTGAACAAAATGTAAGAAAGAAAAAGAAAAAATAATCAGTCTGCAAAAATCATAATTATTGGAGTCACATTACATCTCAGATGACACTTTATAAATTGATGATAGAAAACAATGGAATCCTTACTTCTAACCAATGTATATTTAAATAACTTGCCAGCATATATTGCCATTTAAACACAATATATGCAGTATGTGCAATACTGATACACACATATGCATTGTGCATGTATAAGCTTAACAAGTTTAGGGGTGGTTGCAAGGTCATTTATCAGTACTGCCACCAACACAGACATATAGTGTGCACTAAGTGTTTTCTGTCAAGATTCCAGCTCCCTTCACTAGACCTGCTTGGTCTTGATCCCGCCCCAACCTTCTAACCTTGTGAAAGCAATAAAGCTGTCCTTGAAAAGGTATATAAGCAGTCTCTCTCCTAGAGCTGTTATTATTGCACATAGGGAGGCAAAATAAATTGGTGCTACCTTCAAAATTCCCATCCATGGGAATTTACTCCTGCATCAATACACTCAAAGGAGAGCACTGTAAGAAAGGTAAAATACACATAGGCACAATATGGTTAAGCCATAGAACAACACGATACAGGGTGTTACTGATTGTTTTAAAGATAGAGTTTACTTTTCTTCTTACCTCTTCCTTCTTTTCATCAGTGCTCACAGCTAAGTTGAGACTCAGCTGAGAATGGCTGCTGATGCCACTGTCTTCATTTGTATCGTCATAGTATACAGCTTGCACAGAATCCTGGAAGCAAACAGGACTCTTCCCCAACTTGGCAGACGGCCCCTCCCCTCTTCCCTCACTTTCCATTGAGCTGAGCGACAGGGTACTGTACCGGTCGGGACAATGGACATCCATATTGTACTTGATACTTTCAGCGTTAGGACTCTGAGGCTTGGGAACGGTGGGTCTAGCAGGGCCGATGGGGTGCTCAGTGCTGCAAGTAAATGTTTGTAAAATGTTGGAATTTTTTGACCCATCAAAATCTTCATGGAAGATTTCATCAGGAATTGACCCAGGGTTCTGAAGTGGAGGTGGTGAACAAGCCAAGTCTGAAAGATCGCAAGATGACATCCTGTGGCCAGTAGCATCAAGATTTATTGAGGAGGGTGATCCAGCATACTCATCCTCAGAGCTCTGGATGCTGTACCTGGAAACAGCTGAGATTGGGTTACGCCGGGATGGTAGACACTTCCACCTATCATTCTCAGTGCTGCTGGAAACCCTGTGGGAATAGTCCTCATGGAGCCTGCTGTTTGACCTTGTCTTCTGGTTCTGTTCACCAGCTGAAGAAATATCACTCTTAGCACAGTCCTTCTTCAAAGCACCATCAGTTACATTACTGACAAGTTTCAAAACTCTGTCAAAATCCTTCGCTCTAATTGGGCTCTTCCAGCGTTTTGATTTCCGCTCCAAGTTCCTGTTAGTTTTGTCTGAGTCAGTTGAAGACACACTCGTGGTTCTTGGTGGCATACACTTTTCATTTACAGCTTTGAGGTCCGTGAGGTTTGAGGTTGACTTCCTTTTGAATGAACTCTTTTTCAGAAAATTCAGGTTATCACTGCTCTTACTCCTCCTGTAGATTAGCTTGGGGCATTCTGAATCTTTTCCTACAGTTTCACAAATCTGGGATTCCTGCATGACAGGGGAAACCATTTTGGTATTGCTCTGAGGATCCTGAGTTTTATCACCATCTAATAAATTTATACGGCCAGTTCCATAAGCACGCCTGATGCTGCGTGATCGACAAGTGCCCCTGAGAAAGGAATCATCCTCTCCCTCAGAATGATCAGAAACCACCGTGTTATCTGTTGTGCTGTGCACGTCATGCAGGGGTCCTGAATACGAATACCTGTTTGTCTGAACTCTCACTGTCGTATTGTTTGGAATACGCTTTCTGATTTTGTTCTCTGGCAGGTTATCCTTTAAGTTCTCTGGATCTTCTTTGGCTGGAATTCCTTGGAGAACTGATGATTTTAACTTCTTGAAAGATCCCATTTTTCTAAGGGAAGACAACGTATTCCACGTTGATGAGTTCCCCATAACTATAACTGAACGAGGCCGTTCTACGTTGGAGCTGGATCTTTTCCGAGGAGTGGGGAAAAAGCGCATTATTTTGGAAGGATTGGCTTTATCATCCTGATTGTTATTTCCATTTCTGTTATTTGTGCTGCATCCCCCATTATGACATAATGAGGTAGTATTGTTCCCTGATTCTTTATTATCCATTACCATACAGATAACAGAGGTGGCATTTCCACAGCCATTCTGCCAAGTGGTCATGTTTTCAGTTTTTGCACAGGAACATAAGGAGTCATAGCTCATGCCTTCTTCATCTTCTCCACGCAGAAGCCTTGGTTCAATTGTACGTTTCTCAAGCTCCTCGTTGGTACATATTTTCTGTGAATTCAGCTCTCCAGAAGTCTGCACTGCCTGCAGCAAGAAAACAAAGTCAGCATTTAGGATTTTTTTGTAAGCAGAAAAGAGAGATTCTCTGTATAAAAAACAAGGTTTGTAAGGCTCTCTAGCATAGCCGAGAAAGTCTTTAAAATGCTACCACATGAATCTTGTTATTAATTAAATGAATATTATCAAATGTTACTCTGCTGACTTAGATACTGGTATTAGGCAGTTATTTCTAACATTAATCCTTTCAGCCAAAGAAATTCAATCCACCCACATCATTTTATCAGGATCTAGCTGAAGCTTCCATTGGACTGGATACATTGCTGGTTGACACATCATACTAAGCAAATCATACAATTTGGACATCTTGTAAATAGACCAATTTGGTCTAGTGGTTAAGGCACCAGGCTAGAAAGCAGGAGACTGAGAGTTCTAGTCCCACTTTAGGCATGAAAGCTGGCTGGATGACTTTGAGCCAGTCACTCTCTCTCAACCCTACTCACCTCACAGAGTTGTTGTTGTGGGGAAAATAGGGGGAGGAAAGAGGATTAGATATGTTTGCCGCCTTGAGTTATTTATAAAAATAATAAAGGTGGGATAAAAAATCTAAAAGAAAAAAATAGCTATGAGCCACAACTCAGTCTTCCAGCAATGTAATTTTCAATTAATTTTGGGTGAGTTGGGATGGGCATTTTAAGTCTGGGGATATGAGTAGGAAGTTTTGGGGGAGCAAACTGTTCCCATACCTACCCTTAATCTCCTCCCCGCAATCCTGGAAAACTACCTGAATTCACACTGCTGAAATCTGGCCAGTTTAATAACTCACAACTGACTAAATTCACTAAATTCATATTAAGCTATAAACTGCGGTTTACAAACCACTGTGGTTGATTCCTGTATCATGTTAACCAAAAACCAAGCCATAATGGCTTAACGCGTCCTCCATTGTGGGGAGATGGGGGGGGGGGACAAGTCTAATAATAAATAAATAAATAAATAAATAAATAAATAAATAAATAAACGCAATTATGAACTCCACCTAGAAGAACAGAATCATAGAAATGGAAAGGGTCATCTAAGCCATTGAGTGGAACCTCATACTCAGTGCAGAAATCTAAATTAAAGCATTCCAGCAGATGGCTGTCTAGCCCCTGCATGAATACTCAGAATCTCATGAAGGGAAAATAGGGGAATTACCTCTCTGGTTAATAGTTCCACTGTCAAATTGCTATAATATTCAGTCAGAATCTGCCTTCCTGCAACTTAAGTCCATTATTCTATGTCCTGCATTCTGGAATGAGAGAAATTAGGTTTTGACTTTCTATATGACAACCTTTCAGGTATTTGAAGAATAGATCATATTCCCTTCAATCATCTTTTCTGAAGGCTAAACATACCCATCTTCTTCAACCTGTCTTGGTAGAACTCAGTTTCTAGACCCCTGTTTATTTTCATTGCCCTGTTCCAATTTCTCTGAATTCTTCTTAAAATGAGACATAATATGGCACTAGACATAGCAGAGGACGTCAGGTCTGACCAAGGCAGAATAAAGTGGAAGAATTATTTCTTGTGCTTTGTAAATACTTCTACTGATGCAGTCTAAATTTTGATTTGCCTTTTTGGCAACGCTGGCTCAGCTTGTGGTCAACTGTTATTCCCAAAACTTTTTACAAATATCATACCATTACCACACCACGAATCAACCTTCCTACACCTGTGGATTTCATTTTTGTTTCCTAAATGAAAAATGTTGCACTCTTCTCTCGGAGCCCATTTCTCCAACCTATCAAGATCGTTTTGAATATCATCTTTCCTGCACAGTATTAACTCTCCCTTTTAGTGTTATGTCATCTGCACATTTGACAAGCATTTCTTTGATCTCTTCATCCAAGTCATTAAAAAACATATTGAAGAGTACAGACCCAGGAGTGGTCTCTATCGAACCCTACTTGATACCTGTTTCCCAACTGATGAAAAACCATTAATAAGCACTTTTTGCGTAAGATTTTCAAGTCACTTATATATCCACTTAGTTATCATGCCATCCAACCTGCCCAATTTCCTCAGCATGTCATGCTTATGTTTCCTTAAGTCAAGATACATTATGCATATAGCATTCCCATACTTTATTAAGGAGATTTACAGATAACAAATGTCACACAGTCTCCCAAGATTAGTTCTTGACAACATGCTAATTTCTGATAATTCCCACATTATTTTTGAAATGATGACAAATCAATCTCTTTATAATCTATTCTAAAATCTTCCCAGGAATCCAGGTCAGATTCACTAATCTATAGTTTCCTGAATCTTTGTTTTACCCCTTTTGAAGAGAGAGACAACATTTGTCCTTCTCCAGTCATCTGATATTCCCCAGTTCTCCAGGATTTCTTAAAGACAATACTCCTTTAGAGTGTGGCCAGCCCATCTGCTAGTTCCTCCATTAACCTCTGATGCCATTCATCTGCTCCTGGAGATTTAAACTCATTCAAAATATTTCCTGATTACGTTTTTATCAGTCTCAGGCTTCAATCCTGCCTCTTTGTCCCGCTCTTTAGAATTCCCTGACAGAACACACACTTTTTTGTTAGGGAAATCTGAACCAAAATAGGAGTCAGGAAGCTCTGTATCAAGGTTTTTCAAGCACTAATCACCTATGCTGGATCTGCTAATGCTGGAAGCTGTCCCTGCAAACCAAACCGGTGTTTCTCAACCTTGACAATTTTAAGATGTGTGGACTTCAACTCCCAGAATTCCCCAGCCAGCATGACAATTTTACAGCAATGTTTCTCAACCTTGACAATTTTAAGATGTGTGGACTTCAACTCCCAGAATTCCCCAGCCAGCATGACAATTTTACAGCAA